ATTTGCAAGGCATGTACTGCTTCTCCTACGAGGCAGCGCCCGTGGAGGTGCGCTCGCTGCTGCAGGCCACCAACCTTTTCTTCGCCGGCTCGGTGTCCAATGCCTTTACCGCGCCTGGGACGAACGACTGGGGCCGACGGGCACTGCTCGTCTGGAATTTGGGCCTGTCCCCTTTTTTTTGGTGAGGCCCTTGCTTGTTTTGCAGGTTTTAAAGGGAAAGCCAAGAGGAGGTTTTCTTCTTTTGTGAGCCCCTGGTTTTTTGCAGTTCTAAAGGGAAACCAAGAGGAAGACCACCTTGTTTTTTATGGGGAAGGTCCCCTAAAAACTTGATATGGTAGATGGACAGCATCCTGCACCTGTTGAACTTCCATTTGCGGAAATGAAGAGTGCTCCCCTGGTTTGAAAAGTGACCTTGTTGGTGGTGATTTCAAGCATCACCTTTTTGACCCATTGAAGGTGAACTTAGGTGAACAACCCCTTGGTAGGGGTGGTGCAAAGGCAATCCTTAATCCTTGTTTGGTTACGGGTCGTCCATTTGCTGGAATGTGTTTGTGTCTTGTTCCCCCTGGTGGTTTTAAAGGGCGTCGATCACTACTAAACGTATTTGTTCTCATTTGGAGGCCTGTATCTTTATTTGGAGTCATTCTAGGGGTCTTCTTCCACGAACTTTCCTGCAAGCATTATGGATTGGCCACCTGGCCATCCCTTCATTTGGCACAGCCCAGTGAAAACGTGCGAAGTAACTCAGAAATGCTTGGATGGCTTTCTTTGGGGAATCCCTAAGCGTGGAGCGGGGAAGAAAGGGGGGGGCGCGTCATTGATTTCTAAGGAACCCTAAGGCACCGTAAGGAATTTTGGGGAACCCTAGGGCTCACTAGCCACCCCGCTGGTACCTACGATGGGATTCAATAATTTCTGACTCCCGTTGAACTTAGCTCGGCCTTGGGTGGGTTCCTGCTTGCTGCCACGCACTTCTGGTGGGCCAGAGGAATCCGACACACACAACAGGCGCTGGACTTGTCCTTGAATATTTGCGGGACCATTTTAACTGCAAAGAACTGTGGACTTGGGACCTATCTAGCAAGGAGTTTGAGACGCCTGGACTGAGAATTGTATTATTATTATTATTTTATTTGTTTTAATCCATTTGTTGTTACCCCTAGTTTAGACGCTTCCTTTGTCTTCGGGGAAGCTCCCAAGATGGGTGTGTGTGTGTGTTTCTGCAACCCTTTCAGTGGTTGCTTCAAGGAAAGCGAGACAACTCGATATCTCCCGCTCAAAGGCGGTTTACACCATGACTCCTTGGGCCAGCCGCGATTTGTCTTGGTGACTTTGAGGGAAATCTAGGCATCTTACGCCTTTGCTCCTGATCAGAATGATGATCGCAGAAGAGCATGTCTTGTAGAAGCGCATGTCTGTACATATATCCTTGTGGGTATATTGCCAAGGGATGCTAGGACTTCAACTTTTTGCCAGCTAATGGGTTTTCCATCAAAACACTAAAAGTTAAACTTTTAGCAGGGGAGCAGAAAGCAACCGAGTATCGTATACACATGGATATGACTGGGTTGAAGATCGGCCGAGGCGGTAGTGTCCAAGTTGCTCTATCCCAACGATTTGGACAATGGCAACCTGGAGTACTACTACTTCGTGAATGCCACCATGGCAATTCTCGGCATCTTGCTCTACTTTGTAGTTTCTCGGTGCCATCATGGAGACCAAATCCGGTCTGAGATCAGGGATCAGGAGCGTCGGTTGCGAAATGGGATAACAACAGCCAACCGCAGGTCTCCTTTAAAGCAAGCATTTGCTCGGTAAGCCACATGTTTAGACAAGCAATGCCCTGCCCTCTTTAAAACGAACCAACAGGAGATGGCTTAAACCCCCAAGAATATACATCCAATTGTTAGACAGGGGTCCCTGAATTTCCCTTTCTCGGGCCTTCAAAAGCAACATGCTTCTCGGAACCCCGGTCATTTGCAACTAAGCTGGAAATTTAGTGACCCCTGTGATTTGTTCATCACCAGCTTCAGGAGCTGGTGATTGACGGGTGCCGAAAGGCCGAAAGTAGCGACACAGAGATCTGAAGCGGCGCAGCCCGCCGGGAAATCGTAGGTGTCGAGTACATGGCACCATGCTCACATGTTTGGTGTAAAGCGCATCCCTTGTCAGCCTTTACTTAACCACACATTGGCACGTGGAATGGTGCCATCGACTTTGACCGCGTAGAATTGCCTTTTGGGAAGGATCCGACACTGCAGTTTCATCGCCATTTGAAGGGTTTCGCCTTGAATGGCGGAATGTTTAGCGGGACAACGCCGCCTAATTCGGTTCTCGGGCAAAGGTCTGAGCTGTTCAGGATGTTGGACCTCGATGTAAAGATGCATGCGAATCAAAAAGTGGCAGATCCGGGCAAAGTGCAAGATCCGGTGGCGTTGCAGTACAGTTGAGCAACTAGTTCTGGGTGGTCACATTGACTTACTGTCAGAGCCTTTGCCAGGGCTACTACAGCTATGACGCATCGCGGCGACACAGCCGTGACCCCGAAGCGGAAGCCCTGATCCAGCAGGCTGGACGTGGTGTTCTAACCCTGAATCTTCCAGGCAGTTTAGGGACTTGACACATTAGTTGTTCGACGCGTTCGGCGGGGATTAACCCTTTTGGGGGAGTGAATCATTAGACATCAGCGATTTGGGATGAACTGCAGCTGTTTAATTGGATTTCAGGCATGAACATCTTTGGCGTAGGTGAACATAAACGCTGTATTGTGGCCAACCCTTCACTGGAGTTGTGTTCACATGACCCCATCTCCATCAACCCTATTATGTGGGTGTGTGTTCTTGTTTACCATGTTTGTTTGTGTATGGAAATTGTTATCAAACAATCATGGACATGTTAGACATGAACACGTGAGAGTGGTTATTCAACCTATTAGGCATGCACCCCTCTAGCGGGAATTGTCGACCCTTGGGCTATTCTTGATGGGTAATTTAGACCTGAATTCTTTAGTGGGCATGCGCCTCCCGTTAATTCTTGATTTGAACCTCTTTCAACTTGTAGCCATTTTGCCAGGAATTTCATCTATCCTTGAGTCCTTGAGTGTGCCAAACATTCCCCAAGGTCGCTCCGGGTGCAAAGGATGATCCAATCACTAGAGTCAACCATTGCTTTAGTTTGTTTTGCTTTCCTTTTAACCAGAAGGGGTGGAGTCGGAACTTCGGAACTGCCGCTCAGTACAGCGCATCCCCAAGCATCCCAGTAGCATGCCCCCAGGTGTTGACCTTTGTGCCAATCGGGTCTTAGGATATTGGGTAGGGGTTTTTTGGCGCCTGTTTCGGTGTTCTGTGGTGAGGAGCACTTTTTGGGATGGTTTGGGAAGCCCTAGGACATTCCTTAGGATTCCGAGAGACCCATAGCAACTTGTCGCGCGGCCAGGTGTGGAAGAACCTGGGCGTGCAGCCGCGGGAGATGTCCCAGGAATGGCCGGTTTTCGGCTGGGTGAATCCAGTATATAATCCATTTCGCCCAAGAGACATGCAGCCTTGAGCGCCAGAGGAAGGAAGGTGTGCCAAGTTGCGGGATCATTTTCAGCTCCCTTCTTCCAAGCAACACAAAGCGGATCCCTTAGTAACCATGGTTGCAAGCCCGCTTACGGGACTTGCAACAAAGGGAAGTGGTGGCCAAGAAATACTAACCACTTGCTACGTACCCTGCGCCTTTTGGTGGGATGCTCTGGAAACCAACAAACCACACATGCTTTGGGGCTCCATGTTTTTTACTTGTTTTTTCTTTCTGAGAGAAGCCCCAATCTGTACGTTTACTCCCGAAAAAAACGATTCACATTGCTCGGTGTCTCTTGCTCTGATGTGTTTTGGGTCCATGATCTCATTTGCAGGGGTCCCCCTTGCTTTTGACAACCCTACGTCTGTCAAATCCAATATGGGTCTGTCTTTCTTTAAGTGTATCCCGATGTCTGTTGTTGTTGTAAGGCGCACCAAAAGGACACCCACAATGTTTGTTCAGAACACGATACCCTGAGCGTGTGTTTTTTTTGTTGGAACAAGCACCTGGACGCCAAACATGGAAGCATGCGCTGCATTTGCCTCCGCGTCATCTGGGACATGTGCAAAACATCAGACCTCTTGGGGGTTCCAGGATCTTGGGTCTTTGTGGTTGGGGGGATGTTTGGACATCTCGAGGTGTTTCACACTTTCCAAGGCGCAAACGCCTCCAGTTCTCCAAACCAAGTCCCAAGACTTCAGACCTGGGGAGTGGTTCCAGGCACGTCGGTCTGAACTGTTTGGTTTTGAAAACGCGCTCTGTTTCACACGTGTTTCACAAAACCGCAAAAAACAAAAAAAACGCCTCGAGTTTCCAAAAAAAAAGTCCAGACCTATGGAGCCCAGGATCCGAAATCTAAACTGCTTTTGGTTTTTTTCTGAGGTCTTTGCATGTGCATTTGCCCGTAGGCCTGTGCGCAAGGCTGGGTTCAAGTGCACTTGTGTACTCCGTATTCAAGCCTTGGTGCAGTATGAAATGTTGACTGAGCTGGTTTGAACAAAACAATGTTTAAACGGAAGTCCTGTGTATTTTGTTTCTAATAGAATGATTAGTAGACATGATAATTATAGGTAGCACATTGTTGTATATTGTCTGTTTAAATGTTAACTGATTTGCAAAGACAATTCTAAACTGGAAAGGACATCCTGTACAACATTTAGCTACTAAATTTAGTTTGAAATACAATAACTACGATTAAAACTCTTATTTAAATATAAAATATCATTGGATTATTGCCTTATATAATTCTATTTGTTTTCAGTTTTATCGAGTAGAACTTGATAAAGTGCTTCGTAGCCCAACCAATTCTTTTATATCAGCCTCAGCACTACCATGGTCAGAAAGCACCGTAAAACACTGTGTTTTGTTGCATCTTTCATACTCCACCAACGGCTGTTCTCCAAAACGTTCCAAGTCGTTTGGCGTCTGCTACAACAAGCAATGATGTTCCGCGGGCGGCTTCAATTGGCGCCAATACATGAGTCAGGTCGTTTCGGTCACTCGTACATGACTTTTTTTCATTCAGATCTTGCAAGAGGATCCCAGGAAAATGGGATAAGACGACCTTATCCAGAATGAAGGTTTGTTTTTCAGGCAATTAGGGCATGCCCAAAGCGCATCTTGAGCTACAGAGTCCACGTTCATAGTCGGCTTGCCTTTGCTTCCCTGAGTTTACATCAGACTGCTAACGAGGGGTCCCCATTTTGGGAATCAATATACCGTGGTGCTTTTTCATTTGCTTCCAGAATGATTCAGATGGAGCCTTGCACGCTCCACTCGTATGCCGAACATGTGTTTGTTCATTCCCCCCGTCAACAAACACTTGTATGTACACCTGACCAAAAAGGAACATATGCAACAACATAATTACATCTGTCACTTGACCAGCAACTTGACGTTTCAAGCTATGGATCATGAGGTGTTTGACTCGTCAGAGTTCAGGAGGAGATCATCGACGTGCTGTACTTGCCTGTGGTCAACGAAGGCACATCGGGTTCAACCAAAGATGAATACAAACCGAATTGCATTTATGTCCAGATGCATTGACCCCTTTTGACACACTAAGGAAGCCACGATGTCAAATCTACAGGTGAGCAACAATTGAAACCCGGGTATAAGAAAAGGATAGTGAGGAAAGCATAAATCAGGGGTCCAAATTCCCTTGTCGGACCTCTAAAAGTAGCCGGTCAATTGCAGCAGAGGAAAGGGCATTCCAGCGACACCTCTAGATAGGCGCGGCCGTCCGGTAAGGTTATCCTGCAATCCCCGAAGTAGTTGGCACATGATCAACTTACAAAATCATTTGAAATCTACCGTTAGTTTGGGAGGACATGCGGGGGGCCACCTTCCATTCTCTCTCAGGGAATCAAGCAGAGTAGTTGTCGTGGCTCACATTATTGAAGGAGGGGCAATGAACGAACATCCACCAGATACAATCCAAAAGTCAATAGTTACAAGCCCAGAGCCTTTGGTATAAGCATGGTTTCCCTGTACGAGACCCATGCTTGGTTCTGTGTTCAAGTTCCTCGATATTTCCGCAAGCAACCCGCAAGGGCCAGGCAAGCCTTTCTGTTGAGCACCCGTGGAGCAGCGTCCAATTGTGAGCACCAGATTGCTGTTGGTCCATGGGACATAGTTTCAGAAGAGGACTCAATTCTCCCGTCCCAGACTTTGAATTACCAAATGTCAAGCCCAAAGCCCGATCCGCCCAAGATAGGCTGCTCGTAAATTTGCCTGGCTTCGCAGGTGGTTTTGGTACTTCCTTTATAACCCTTCATAGTCAGACCTGGTAGAACCCAAGCACTGGGTTTGGGGTGCTGCTATGAAGTAGTGCCCGAGCAGTTAGCCTGGAGGTGTGGGGTACTGCAAAACAAACTATGCCAGGGGAATGATGTGCGCAATGATGTAGCCTCTTGCATTAAAGTAGTACTCGGACTTGATCCGCTTTTGGGCAGACCATTTAGTGGTAAACAACAATTTTGGGACTTGCTGTGGCCAATCCACTTAGGAAGTGAGGACACGGAACCTGAAAACGCTGGTAAATAAAGTTCTAGGGGTACCTTCCCCATTCTTTCCCGGGATCCTTCTTTCTAGAAAACCTCCGGAAACCCAAGGAAAACGGATCCGGTTTTTGGAAAGAACGGATGGAAACGAATGGAAGAGGAATCAACCCCTAGAAAAGTAAAAACGCTGTAGTACTCGGACTTGATCCGCTTTTGGGCAGACCATTTAGTGGTGAAAACGCTGGTAAATAAAGTAGAACCCTTTCATTCCCGGAGCGCTGCGGCGTCCGCATCCCAGGCTTCAAGTGCCTTGAGGAGGGCATGGCTTTGCGCGCCAGCGACATCGACGTGTGCTGCGTCTTTGGCGGCTCTGGCTGAAGGCTTGGCAAGGAAATACAGTGGAAGGACGAATTCCTGCACCACCTAAGGAACCCTGGAATGATGGCTCCCCTGTAAATTCCAATAAACAATGGTTTCCCATAGTTTCCAAGTGGTGCAGGATTTTGTCCATCCACTGTATGAAGTACACAAAAGCCTCCAAGCATACCTCCAGCTTTGGTCCATCCTCGTTTTTGAGTGTGTGTGTGTGTGTGTGTGTGTGTGTGTGTGTGTGTGTGTGTTTTGGGGGGTCCCCAAAAAACGGGCGGGGGGCGGGGGTGGGACATGAGCAGAAGATCAGCCGCAGCCTACCGTTAGGACATTGCGTTCATGGCGAGGCTGTTGGATCTGATCGTCCACCCTTTGGACCAAAAAGAGGGGTTCCTCATGCAGGGCTCCTTAAAAGATACATTTTGCAGCCATTTGAAACATGTTTTTTTTTTCACCAAATGTTGTTTTTTCTCGGATACATGGCTGCCTCTATCGATTGGCCCCTGGAGGATGACAGCTTCTTGATCCAGGGGTTGATTCATGCCCCATCCCGGGTCATCCCTTGTGGATTCCTTCGAACTTTGAGGAGATCTGTAGCTTCATTCACAAACTGCGATTCCCAACTGGGCTTTGTTTGCAAATAGGGAAAGCCCAAACAAAAGAAGTGGCTTTCCCTTGGTACATCATACCTGAATACCGCCCACAAAACGTAGCTATACCTACCCTTAAACAGCTCCCACTGAGATCCAGTCGAGCCGCGTCTGGTAAGGCTACAACTGGCCCAGATACACCGGCGGGCCCATGAAGTGGGGGCTTGGCGCTCAGGGATGTGTTCGCGCCGTTATGACGGGTCTGTCTCGCCATGGGACCCTTTTTGGATAGGTGTGTGGTAGTTCTTAAAGGGAATCCGAAAGGGAGCCAACCGCATGCAGTCCCATTTTTGAAGAAGACTACGCAGCGCGAGGTTGCCGGTTGCATCCGACGTCTTTTCCATTTGGGACACCTTGAGGTCATCGCCAAGCACGACAGCATGGGTTGAAAACCCCCCGGAAGGGGTGCTGCCAAGCCCGTTGAGAGGGAATCCTGGGCATGAGCGCTCAATTTTTGGTCCGGGGTCTTGTTTTTTTCCACACTCCTCCATAGCTTTCACTGGCCCCAAACCACTACTTTTCGGCCTTGAATAGTACCCTCCCGACTAACATGGAAGTGCACAGGCCTCTGTAGAGAAACTACTTTCCTCTTGTAAAGGGCTTTGCACACTTCCATGTTCGGTGGGAGTGTATAGCGATAAAACGCCAGTTTATAGAAAGGGCACCTGGATTTCCTGGGTTCGGTAGTGGATGTTTTCGCCGTGTTTGGTGAGACATGGGCAGAACATCATATCCGTCCTGAATGCCCCTGGAAGATCAGGACGATCGGAGACCCAGGTGTTGAGCAAGGGATCAACTTACTGCTCATAGGAGTCGGGGCGTGTTTTTGTTCAGGGTTCCCTTTGTGGGGCTGTTTTTGTTTGAAGGGAGGTCAAAAAGAAAGCCGAAGCCGCATGATTAAACCGTCAGAATGCCTTGCCAAGAACCCTGGCATCGACCAGCGGTGCGATGGCCTTGTTTCATTTTTTATCCCAGACAGACTCCAGGGTTTGGATCGGTTGGAGAAGTGAACCCCTTGTAGAGTAGGCGGGCAACCAACCCGGAACCTCCATCGAGACCACTTTCTGAGGGAAGCTGACTCTCTTGGCATGTTAGCCAAAGCAACCTCTAGACCTGCGCTTCCGCCTGTCCTGAAAGGGGGAGTCCACGTCCGTGGTAGCAGGAGAACAGCCAGCAAGGCCTTCGAGAATCACAGAGAGAAGTGTGAGACCCATTCCAATGCCAATGTCCACCGAATGGTAAAAAACTGGTATGTTCAGCGTCGGGGCGGGTTCCTCCAGGTGGGTTGTGTCCTTACCAACTATTCGGAGAACTTGAAACGTTTGGCAAGACAGTTGTCCACTAAGGAAACAGATATGACCTGCGGAACCTGCAGCGGTCCAGTTGCAGGCCCCAATTTGTCTTCTTCTTTTTTGCGGGTTCCATTTTGGATGCCATTTGCCCAGACGATGTGTCCCTTCTTTTGGGTGGGATTCCCCTTGCCAATTTCTGGAATGTGCGGCATGGCTGGAGTTGGTTTCTTGCAGACTAAACGTAGCGACGCAGTCCACGTCTTGGAGAACTAGGCGACTCTTCTTTCTGCCAGGGTCGCTCAACCACTGATACCAACCAACATGAGGGCCTACAGAATTGCGCGCCGTATTCTCTGGCATCTCATGACACCCGGTTTTACAGTGCGGTAGGTGCCCCACCCATTATAGAACCGATTTTAGTGGTTGGATTGAATCGGATGTTCACTGGGGGCTAACCGATTTGGCTTTTGAAAAGCCCATGGCCTCACGTTGGGCCAAGAGCTGGCGGCTGAGGTTCTCGCTGGGCCTTGACCAGGTGCTTGCCAAGGCACGACCGCGGAGCTCGGACTGACGGACTGATCACGGCTCGACGGGGGCTTTCTGGCCGATTTCGTCAAGGGGTTTTGCTGATTTCTGGGACTTTGAGGTCAAATAGATTGGTAAACATCCGTGCATCAAGCCGAGAACCCTTGGGTTTGGGGTTGGCTTATCAGTTGAAACGCCGATAAATTTGGGGTAAAGACTCGCATATTCCTGATCTTTGGAATTGCTCTCACCCCTTTTGAATGCGACGACCAGTTTCGGGGTGCCTGGTTTTGGGAGTTATACGATCTTCATGGCTATTTGGTTGGGTTCTTTGGACTTCCACTTTTCGGGCAACAGTGGAAATTGGACCCACAACCAGTTGAGAGCTTTTGCAGAGGGGTCAACAGCTACCAAGTCATTGTTTGCAACAACTCCACTAACCTGGGGATTCCCCTCATGAGCAGTACCGTGGATGGACGAACTCCTGCACCTAAGGAAAATGAGATGATGAAGTGCAAAGAGACTTTCAGAAAACAGTAGCCTGGAATTCAGAAATTAGGAACGACATTTAGAAACCAGGAGCGCAAAGTTTGGAGAACAGAAGGTTTGCCGAATGGTAGGGATGGTTGGGACGGCTGGCATGGTCCAGTTTTGCGAGGTGCGCAACTCTGGGGACGCAAGTTTGATTGGGACGGGATAGAATTTCGTGCATCCACGGTATGTGCAGGTGCACTCAAAGTTTATCTCAACATGACGGGGTCTTCGGACGGAAGGTTTGGATCTTAAGGTTTTTTTTGTTGGCTCGAAAGTGGCCCGCGACACCACTGGATTGCTTGCTTCAGATCCGATGGGAGAGACCCGAACGAATCTAAAGGGGGTTCAAACGTTTTTCAAGTTTAGATTGTTATTTCCCATATGCGGAGGAGAGAGGGTAGTCTGCGCGTTGTAAGAAGCGTCCTTTTCCCTTTGCTATGCCCGAACCAGAACTTCGATATGACCATGTGATCGCAGGTGAAGGGCACCGTTTGCAAAAGGCATCCTCGTCGCTACTCGAATCCCTTTGACGCCTGGCCACAGACTGAAGTGCTGCTGAAAGGACACAATCACAAGGGGATGCATGATCAGTTTCCTCCCACTCCCGCCCCGCAGCTGCTGAAAGTCCCTGTTTCGGTTGATATCCCTATCACCCGGAAACCGCGGCACAACATGATTACGTGACTACCCGACAAAAACATCCAGCAACACACAAGAGCAGGGCAACCAAAATTGATGCTCGTATGGATGCTAGCGGCAATCATCAGCTACCTGTGGCTTCTTTGGGCGTCAGATTTCCCTTCCGGTCTGCATGGGACGGAGAGATTCGCACATGGCATCCCGTGGATTCGCCCGATTCGTTTGGCCCCAAGCCCAGGAAACATAAATTCCTAGCTTCGGAACCAGCTGAATCTATGGGCGAGTCACTTTGACTGCTTTGTCATGCCACAATTTCTCTTCGACACCTATCAGGCTTTGGCAAGGCATCCCACTACTTTTCCGCTTTTGGTGGTTGAACACGTCATCTTTGCGTTGGAACTACCCTCTTCCAGGCTAACATGGAAGCTCCCAGGACCCCTTTGAAAGACTTGGTTCCATTTACAGAGGCGTTCTGGGAGCTTCCATGTTAGCCTGAGGGAGTGTATTTCAAGAGTCACCAAGAGGCCTAGAGAACCAACTCCAGGTGGAGAAGATGGGCCTCAAACCCTCCGAGCTGCTGAAGGAATCTGGGTGAGTGGCCAACCTGGCAGGTGACGGGCGTCTGATGCGTGTGTCTCTGTGTGTGTTTAAAGGGAGACAACCCATGTTGGGGGTCCCCTTCTTTACACCAGGTTCCCCAGTAGTGCCCTTTTGCCCTTTTTTGGGGGAGGGTTCCCCTACTAAAATAGACTACAGAAAAAAAGGGACCCCTATTCTAATCTCTCTACTGGCTAGCACATATTACTATGTGTCCAACTTGTTTGCCACTTTGATTCAAACACAATGCGACGCCCCGATGCTTGAACCACTTGTCAGCATTTTAGGAAATCAGTTTGGGGGTGAACCAGTTTTGTCAAGGAGTGGGAAGTGTTTGTTTTAGGGTGTTTTATGTTTCGTGTCTTTTCCTGTTGTGTTTGCCCATGCAAATCGAACTGAACCTTTTGGTTGAAATAATTAGTTCATTCCCCTTCTTTGGTATCTATGCTATGTTCTGCATGTGTGGTGCCCAACTGATTCTTGCTAGTCTGGGGGTTCCATCTGGTTCCTTTCTTTTGATGGCATGCGTTGTGTGTTAGTAGTCAGGGAGATGATGCAGGGGTGCTTGATTCTCCCTGCTTTGATGATTATGTGCATCACTATGGGGTTGCGAATGTTGCTTGTGGTTCCCGGTTGCTGTCTGTCTGTAGTCACTGTTTTATTTGGTTATTTGTGTCTTTCTTGCTTTTCATCTTTGTCGCTGCCCGTGTTTGTTTCTTGGTTTGCTTTTTCGTTTTTCGAATGGCTTGTTTTGAGCGGGGCTAAGAATTAAATTCTGAGTCCTTTCTCCTTGGGGTTGCAAGATTTGAGCACGCCTTTTCTTGGAAAAGAAGGGTGAGGGAACCTAAGAAGGATCTACTTCCCTACAAATCAAACCGGACTCCAGAAAACACCCATTTGTAGGTTAAACTTTTGCTGGGGCACCCCCCCCTGCTTTCCGGGTTCCATGTTAGTTTGCAGAGGTGTTGCACCAAAGGACAAGCATGTGTGTAGCATCCGCAAGAAACGCATTTGTCAGCCATCTTTATCCGGTCAACCAAAGTGGTCTAAAGAAGAAGGCAGGCGTAGGTATGGGTGTTTAGTAAAAAGGGCGCAGACAACCCAAACAATTGCACGGCTCAGTTGGGCACATGTCCAGGGAGCTGGGCAATTTACACACATGGGTCTGTGTCTGTTTTGGTGCCCTTTCTTGGGGGTTTCGAAGGGAAGCCAACAGGAACCCTCCCCCCCCCATTTCGGGACAGCACGTGGGCCTTCGGTGCTTCCAGGATGGGGGCCTCCCAAACAGCGAAGCTTTGGTTCTCCTTTCGGGTTGGTAGCTTTGGTCAGGCTTGGTCTCACCCAGGGGAAGGCTGTAGTGGTAAGCAAGCTTAGACTTTGGATCCGGGAAGCGACGACATATTTTTTCAGTGGGCCGAAGGACAGCCTGGCTCACGGAGTTCCCCATCTCCACGGGTTACTTTCGCATCTTGCGACTGCGGCTCACAATTGTTTCCAAACCAAGCCAAGCATACACCTGCCCAGAATGGTCCCTTTCGTTTTGTTTTTGAACAGCTCAAAAAGGCAACCACCGAGAAAAAAGCGGTTTCACAGGTTCCCCATGGTGTTTTCCTTCAAAATAGGCCCAACCATCGCAAAACCCCTAATTGGCGGTTTGGATGTGGATTTTGCTCGTTTTTGGGAATTCGGGACACCGTGGCGGAACACCCCCAAAACCGCTCCAAAGCATGAATTTGAGGAAGCTGAACACAACACCAGAAAAGCGCAAAAGCAGAAACACACATCTGCAGTTCCAAACAAGCTATGAAACTAAAGCTCCCAACGGCCGTCAGTTTCCTGGTTTCCCTTTTTAGCCAACTCCCAAACACCTGAAACTTCGGCGAGTGGGCCGAAAAAAGCCTGAGCCGAAAGGCTTGACAGGCCCCTTTTCCTTCGTAGCCCCCCCAAACCGGGCGTTTCTTTTCCCAGTAACCCAGCCCCGATCCCCTCGGATTTTCGGCCAGGAGGGCGCGCAGAAGAAGTGGAGGATCAACTCCAAGGAGTTCAACGCCGGCGCGGTCCTCGGTCCTCGGGCCTCGTTGGGCCGACTGGGCGATCCAACGAAGGGCTCGGTCGTATGGGGCGCTGTCTTTTGGTTTGGGGAACCCAAGCTTTTCGTGGGTTTGAAAGGAATGCAAAAGGAGAACCATATATTATTATTTTTTGGGGGTGGTTCAACTCATCCACTTGTGCTTTTGGCCTGTTTTTGGTGAGCCTTTCTTGGTAGAATCCGGATGGGGAACCCGGGTGATCATGCATGAGTTTGATGCATCCAAGCTAGCTTATTCAAGGAAGCCACCAGAAAACTTCCCCAGAATTAGCTCCCCTTTTTGTTTTTTGTTTTTTGCTTTTTTGGGGTCCCTTTGTTTTCCACTAACCGGGCAAAAATTGTATTTTTTTGCTGGGGTCCTAATTCCAGCCTAGAAAAAGTCCCAAGAGAGTCCCTTAATACCCTTTCAGGATGGAAGGCCACTTTGGCCGGGTACCGCTTGCCGTTGGGAGATTGGACTAGGTCTACCCTTTTCTGGGTTTGGCTTAAACGGAGCCATGTGGACAACCAACTCAATTGTTCAGTGGCATCCTGTTTCTTTCTTTTTTTGGAGGCTGCCACTAAAAATGGTCTTCCCAAAAAAAGGGATCCTGAACAACTGAGCCAACCTTTTTTTGGGGGGGGGTCCGAATTCCCATGTGGGACAAGATCGGCATACCTCCAACTGGATACCGACGCATTTCGGTGCTCCGGTGCTTTGGTCCGGAACAATCCTTGCTCATGCCCTCAATCATGCTGGGGGGGAGGGAGGGGAGGGGGAGGGAGCCCAAATAAGCCCTTATTAAGCCCTTAATAAGGCCTTATTTAGGGCCTTTGGGGCTCCGACCACGGACGTTTGTTGCACCTGCATGTTACTCTTACTTGACACACATTGCTAGCCTGTGCTGTTTGTTTTTTTCTCCGCACTTGATTCTTCCTACCTTTTTAGTATTTTCTCTCTAATTGAATTGCCTTTCATATCCGGCGCGTTGAGGCTTAGCCTTCGGCACCGCGTGATTGTCCATGTGGGGTATCCTCCAAACACGAAGCATCTGCAAACTTGGTGCACCCCAAAGGGCCCAGTTTTCAAATACTCCTTAGTTGCCGTTTTGATGTTTGGATTTGGATTGGAAGCACTTGTTAAACCACCGGGCCCTTTCGCGCTTTTGTTTTAAGGGCAAATGGGAACCACAAAACCAGGAACCGTGACAAACCACCGGGCTCCAGCCCAAAACGAATGGAAGTCCACGGGGCCAAGCCGAGGTGTCGCCTCGGCTTGGAACTCTCGCTGGACGTCCAAGCTCTGAGCTCTGGATGCATCGGGAAAGGCGCTGGCAGTTTGCTTGCAGCTTCAAACAAAAGACACGGGTGTTTTCCTTATGTTTGGTGTCTTTGTTGGTTTGTGTCTTTGTTTGCTTGCTTGCTTGCTTGCTTGCTTGCTTGCTTGCTTGCTTGCTGTGCTTTGCCTGTGCTTTGGCCTTGCCTTGCGTTTTTTTTTCTTGATTGCTTTCTTGTGTGCCTGCTTGCCTGCATGCTTGCCTGCCTGCTTGCCTGCATGCGTGCATGCTCGCTTGCTTGCTTGCTTGCTTTGTTTTCTTCGGAGCATACCCTCGTGGAAAGGGATTCAACACAAGAACTGAACACTACCCACTTCGGGCATTTCACAGCAGCAACATCCCTGTTGCGCCACGATTTCCAACTGCAAATGACAGTGTTGTACTTTCTTGCCGTCAAGGCAGGGTACATAAAAACACGGCCCCCTCAAAAGGAGGTTCTTCTATATGAACATGTTGTAGGCATGCTGCGGAAGGACCAGATTCCTGTGACGATCCACTCAAATGATGGGACTGGGCATCTACTGTTTGAGAACGAGTCGGGAGGATGTATGCGGCTGCTTTTTGCTGGGACCTCTTTTGTTTGGTGGCTTACGATGGTGCACACCGATACGAATGTGTCCATATGTTCCCATCCTGAAAGCAATGTATGGACAGGGGGGAATACCCTACTTCCCCATAATTGCCTTTGGCTTTGTGAGTACAAGGGATATAAAGTTAAAGTATAGTTGCAGGTTCACATGTTCCAAATTTGGGGTGGGGATGTGTTCTTAGAATGTGGACCTCAACCCATAGATCTTCCTTGTTTGTGACAGGGACGTGCTTGGGACCAAACCTTTTGTTGTCAGTGATTGATGTGTGGCCGCCGGTGTGGAAAGCACAACATATGACGTGGCATGCACGCTTCATCAATGTCCAAGTCTTTCGGTGTTGACAAAGAGTTGACGCTGCTTGCCAGCATTGCCCATGACTTTGATGAATCCAGCAATTGGATGGCGACCAGGCGTCCCCGCTGATGCATCTGTGACAATGGGCCAATACATTTGAAGTTTCGTGCCTTCATCCACGCCCGACGCAGCTTGCTTGACCATGCAAAAGCACGCCGCAGTCAACATAATTTTGGCTTTTACATGTGTGTACAGGCCCACAGCCAAGTTGTTATCCGCCCCACGAACAAAGCAGAAACACAAACACAAACACACACACACACACTCACTCACACACACACACACAGTCACACACACAAACACAGTCACACACACACACAGTCACACACACACAGTCACACACGCACAGTCACACACACAGTCACACACGCAGTCACACACACAGTCACACACAGTTACACACAGTCACACACACACAGTCACACACACACACACGCGCACACACACACACATTTGTCAACCCATGAGGAGGTCTAAGAGTTTTTTCACTCTATTGGTTTGTACATTCAGCCGTTGAAGCACATTGAGCGCGGATGAATCGTTTCGCCGTTTCGAGGCCCAATTTGCGGCCCTCCGCAATTTGGACTGTTGTTCCAAAGTGGAAGGGGTTCTCAGATCGGATGCGGGTGTTGCTCAAGTTGTTGATTGCAAAGGACGCTTGTGGTCCCGAGAGGGCTGTCGTATTTATGGCTACTCGCCCGAGTGTGGTGGCTTTGTCGGTCGTTTGGACGGCACGAGCCATCGCTTTGGCAGAAGCAGCAAAAAGCGGCGCTTTGTCCGGAGATCACAACCTGTTTTGCTGTGACCAGCCAGATATGACGCCCTGACCTCCCCCGATTTGTGTGACCATGATGGCGTGTTGCCTGGCTTTCAGTTTCACATTGAGGTAGATAAGCAAGTGTCAAATACAACAAGACCTTGAGGGTTTGATACGTTTGGTTCAATACGGGTGTGTGATATGCATGTGTTGCATTTCCGGCATTGATGTTAATGTTGCTGCAACATTGCTTCACGCTTTTGCGCTTGTGGTTCCTTCCCTTTTGAATCCACAAAAAATATTCCCCACGTCGCTCCTTCGCTGTCGAGAAAAGGGTACAATTCCTATGTTTCCCTTGTAGGTTTTGAATGTGACTTGCTTGGCCAACTATACAAAACTGCCTTAAGAGGAAGAACACACAAGAGGAAGGCTTTGTTGGTGGCTGCCTTTGAAAAACAAGGGGCATTAGGGTCCAAATTGAGTCGCACCCTTTCATCATGATCAACCGCCAATTGGAACGGCCCTCATGTGTTTAGTGGTCGATATTTGCTTAGGCCCCATACAAGGCTAAAGCAGCTCACCCATGATGCCCTTGCTTGTGGATCCCTTCAAGAAATTGAGGGTGGTGAGTTATAGTGCGTATTTTAACCAGTGGCCGCAGATCCAGTTTGATCATGTTGATCAATTCCCCCCACTTGTGGACTCCAACTAGCAAGTGAACCATTCACATCCAATCGCAGAGCCATGTTTGTAGTGCATCATGGATGCTAAACGATTATGTTCTGGATCCCGTACACGGAATTCGGGCTTCTCAGTCCAGATATGGTTCCAACTTGATTGGAGATTGGACCATTCTCCTCTAAACTCGAATACGCGGGATTCTGTGGATCGGAAGCATGCCTGGCCAGTTTTCCTCCGGTGGACGAAGGTCTACACAACAAGCAGAAGCCGATTCCTGGTTTGTGACGTGCCTCTGCCAATGCGTCCGCTCAGTTTACATCGGGAGCACCTGGAAGCTGAAGCCCTGACCAGCGCCCTGGACCGACGTCTCCAAGCTCAGGCCAGTGAATCGGAAACGGGCTGAGTGGCCTCGTAGTTGGCGCGCGGGCCCGGGGGTGGTTTCTGATTGCTTTGTGGAGGTGGGCTTTGTGACTTGAAGCCCGGTTCTTACCCCGTTTTGCGGGTGGGGAGATGTTGTGTTGCTCCTGATCCTCAACAAAATAGC